GCCGTCCCTAATTTAGGGGTGAAAGACTAGATGGAAGGCAGCTAGTCAACACCACCCACCGCAAATTCTTGGGCTACTCTTTTACCAACGAAAAGTGAAATTGGCCATGACATTATAACGCCCCCCATGGCCGAAAGGGCCTTCGAGCGCCCCCTAACCGATAGGCTCCCTATATAATTATATGTTGTTGTTGTTTTTTTGTAATATACTACATCAGAGTTTAACAACTCTTTAACATAACATCGGTTCCATTAATGCTTACATTTGATATGTCACTAAAGCTTTGTAGCAAGTAAAAAAAAACCAAAAGTATTCGTCATTGGACATTATAAATTATTATATATTACTCAGCTCTATCTATACTTATATATATATATTATTCTACTTTATTGTAATTGCAATGGCTTTGGTTATGTAAGTTAAATGATCACAGTTGAAGCTGAGAAAAATAGCAGATGCGTGTGCGAGCTATTAAGGCCAACCCATTCGTTTAATGGGAGTCCAACATTTAAGAATTACTTTTCCAAAATATTTAAAGAATGGCAATCAAAGAAAACTGTTGATTTAAAGTATCTCAGACCATAAAAACAAAATTATTCTCCATTATATTCAATTCAACTATAATTGCCGGTTTTAAGGACTGACCGTTATTAATGTTGTTTTCTTTTAAAGAATCAAAAAATGTTCACAGTCCTATTTTTTTTACTACAACACATTTAGAATAATATTTTGCGAATAATTAAAGAAGATTACTTAGCATTCCTTTCACTATAAAACTAAACGTGTACGTATTTCATCATTTATCACGCTTTTTTTTTTAGAAGCTACAATGACAGAAAATCGTAATTTAACGAGTTTTACTTTTCAGTTAGATTACATTCCAAAAAGGTTTTTTTGTCAAGGTTTCTTTTTTTTTCCAAAGAACAATTTAAGATTTAAGATTGTGTTTATTCTTATGAGTCAGTTGAATACTACTTGGTTGTCGACCATAGAAGCGACTCTAAGATCAGAAGAGTTGGTTTTAGGTAGATGGAGTGAATTTCCATCAAATTAACTAGAATTATATCAAACCATGATCATCTAAGTACATCTCACATCCTTGTCGGAATAACGAAACCATCACATCCGTAAATCATTTGCATTTTCATCGTTCAGCTACTAATCGCCCCTCCCCCAGTGGCACAGCGGTATGTCTGCGGACTTACAACACTAGAATCCGGGTTTCGATACCCGTGGTAGATAGCCCTTTGTGTAGTTTTGTGCTTAACTACAAACAGCTAGTAATCTAAAGTTTTAAAGTCGTAAGAGTCCTCATGTAAAGGTCTGGTCATGGGTTCAAAATTAGGGACGGCGGCAGATAGACTTAGTAGCTTTCCATTAAATTCTAAATACAAATAAAAATTAATTCTCTGATTCACAGACCGGGCACACTGACCACTAAACCACACCCGGCCCCAGAATGAAGAAAAAGCAACGCCCGTCATTATCAGGCTAAACTGTAGAGCATCTGGTCTAACCTCTACTTCACATTTACAAAATGTTTCATTGTCTGTCATTAGTGTTCGGAATGGTGTGAGGAACAGAGGAACTGTTTTATTTTATCATATCGATATATCAGGGTGGTTCAAGAAATGGGTTCTCGAGGAAATCCTCCTTTATTTCCCCGAAAGGGGGCCTAAGGCCGCCTGTTTTAACCACTCGCACCACTTTACAGTAGTGTCTTTTCTGTCAGTCAATCAGTAGACCCTAAAATGACGTCACATAAGGGACGCTTAACGTTGCAATTTTTACTTTCATGACGTCAGTAAAACGTGGACATGCCACGAATAACGAGAAGAAGTGTGCAATCTTAGCTTTCCTACAGAAACTAATTAAAAGTACCATTGTTGTTCATAACGTCTATGGAATTTCCAGGTTTTTTCTGTTTTGTTTTTTCACTTATGAGTAAGTTATACAAATTCATTTTTTTAGGTGTTTGTTTCGAATTAAGCACAAAGCAACACAATGGACTATCTGTGCTCTGCGCACCACGGGTATCGAAACCCGGTTTATAGTATTGTAAGTCCGTAAACATACCGCTGTGCCACTGGGAGGTTTCTCGGAGTGGCATTGTTTGTTGTGAAGCGCAGAGCTACACAGTGGGCTATCTGTGCTGTGCCCACCACGGGTATCGAAACCCGGTTTATAGCATTGTAAGTCCGTAAACATACCGCTGTGCCACTGGGAGGTTTCTCGGAGTGGCATTGTTTGTTGTGAAGCGCAGAGCTACACAGTGGGCTATCTGTGCTGTGCCCACCACGGGTATCGAAACCCGGTTTTAAGCGGTACGAGCCTTCATACTTACCACTGGGCCACTCTGCGATAACGCTTGGGCTGTACACTTTATGAAGATTGTTGCAATATTTAATTTGTGATAATTCTTAGGCTAGGATTAGTTACACGTGACGCACTCTTCTATATGTTGTATTTATTTACTTATTTCTCTCTCGTACTTTTCTCTAGGAATTGACTTATCAGACTTTAAAATCACTCGATAAGGGCAAGTATTTCAAAGGTACGCTCGACTGTGTACGTGTTTCATAAACTGTTCTTCGACGACCGTGTTCCTATTTTATCCAATTGATTTCCAACGACGAAAACCATCAGCATGGTGAGTTGATAACAATGTGAACTTAATTAGTACCTACATATCTATAAGCCGAGACTTTTTTGTTTATTATATTTGTTTGTTTGTTCTTAAGCCTAAAGTAGAACAGTGTGCTATTTGTGCTTTGTCCACCGCAGGTATCGAATCCCGGAATATTAGCATTATAGGATCACAAGTTTAACGTTGAACCGCCTGTCATATAGTGTCATGTATACAATGTGTTTCTATAAACACGTCATATGGTGTCAAGTTTACAGTATGTTTCAATAAGCATGTCATATGGTATCAGGTTTACAGTGTGTTTCTATAATCATGTCATATGGTATCATGTTTACAGTGTGTTTCTATAAGCATGTCATATGGTATCATGTTTACAGTGTGTTTCTATAAGCATGTCATATGGTATCAGGTTTACAGTATGTTTCAATAATCATGTCATATGGTATCATGTTTACAGTGTGTTTCTATAATC